TGGACCCTCTGAAAGAGCTTCTTGTTCCACAGGGGCTTCTGGATTATACTTTTGATGGTTGTTTTGAGTTTGTCTGAGATACAAGGTGTAAGTGTGGATGATGACCTTGGAACTATTGTTGTCATATTGATCTCCCGCCTATGGTGGCCACCGAGTCCCCAAATGTCTGTAAGTTATACTGACATCAATAGAGGCTTTATGAATTGGAAAAGGTGTCACTATGTTGTTTTTTTATTTTTATTTTTTAGTTGTAGATGTGCTACCGCTGTTTTACCGGTGAAGAGTCCTTGCTTCCCCAATGTTGAAGTATAACACCAGAGAAGCACGCCAAGGCAAGTTTAGAGTGGAAAGTAGAGGCTTTATTAAAGGATAGCAGAAAAGATTTCTCCCCTCCCTGGAGGAAGAAGGGGACCCAAGAGGTGGAATCCATGGAAGGGTGAATGTGTTCCCCTTTTTATAGCTAAAGTCTTCATCCAGCTTTCCCCCATTCCTGTCCTTTGTTCTGTTATCTTTCAGTGATGGAAGATAGGGTGGGGCACAGGTGGGTCAAAGGTGTAATCTGGTCAGGAAGGACTTTTGGATTAGCATCTCCATTTTTGCTGGGAGCTATTTCATTAACATTTCTTTGGGATGGGCTCCGGGCCTTGGGGACATTAATATTCCAAGAGTTGTTCTGCTTTTCCCTGACTCCATTGTCAACATGGCCTTCATTTTCAATTTTACTTGATTTACCTAACTACACTAACTACCTATCCTTAAATCTGGCTTCAGATGGACACAATATCTTTATTTATTTACTTATTTTTATGTGCTGCTGAGATTCAAACTCAGTTCCTCATGCATGCAAAGCAAGTGATCTACCACAGAGCTACAACTCCAGTTCACTATGTTGTTTTTATGTTATTGTTTTTGCAGTACTAGGGATTGAACCTAGGGGCTCTTGCATGTTTGGCAAGTGCTCTGCAACTAAGCAAGATCTCTATCTCTCCTTGCCCTTTATTTTATTGTTTTTTTTAAAGAGAGAGAGAGAGAGAGAGAGAGAGAGAATTTTAATATTTATTTTTTAGTTCTCGGCAGACACAACATCTTTGTTTGTATGTGGTGCTGAGGATCGAACCCGGGCCGCACGCATGCCAGGCGAGCGCGCTACCACTTGAGCCACATCCCCAGCCTTATTTTATTGTTATTTTGAGACACAAGGGATGGCTAGGTTGCCCAGGTTGGCCTTGAACTTTCCAGGACTCCTCCTGCCTCAGCTTCTCAAGTAGCTGGGATTATATGTATGCCCTACAGCACTGGCTCACCACATATTTTTATTTATTTATTTATTTATTTTTTTATATTTTATTATTATTATTTTTTCAGTTTTAGGTGGACACAACATCTTTATTTTATTTTTAGGTGGTGCTGAGGATCGAACCCAGTGCCTCATGCATGCTAGGCAAGCACTCTACCACTGAGCCACAACCCCAGCCCTTCACCACATGTTTTTAAATGGAGAAAGATATGATTTAAATTTTCAAGTTACTTTAGTAGAATCCTGGTAACATTTTGTGGCAAAAAAGAAAAACCACATAATTTTCACATGGAGGATGAGAGTAAAAAATTTGTCATAATGAGGAATTAAGAAAGTAATAGTTCAAGGTTGAGCTCTTGAAGCTGAAGAGGTTGCTAAAGATGTTCAGGTGGAAGGTGTGGCTGTGACTGTACAGGGCTATAGGACCAGGTAAGTGCTCTTTGGCATGGAGAGATTCAAGGATGAGTGTTAGAAAACTCACCACACTTGCATCACTCTGCAAGACAGGGGGCCTGCTAAAATTACCAAACAAAACAGGAGGCTGCTCTGGAGGCCTTTAGGTGATGATATGCGAAACCAAGTATCATATCATTACTAACACAGAACACAGACCTACATAATTATCTCACTTCTAAATAATTTTAAAACTCATTTCTCTGTTTTAACAATGAGAATAGTAGCACAGTCAACTTCTATAAAATACCACATGGTAATAAGTTACTAGGAAGGACTTGTACTTGGCAAACACAGGTTATTAAGTTCCTATGACACTGAGATGCAATACTGTTACACTGGAGCCTTAACTCGTGCTCAACAGTCAATGGGTTGGGCTTTGCTTAGGCTCCGTGAGTGGTTTCTAGTGTGTTCCTGCTTGGGCTCACAGGAGGGCACTGTCTGCAGCAAGCAGCACCACCCAAAGGAGCCATTCCATGGTTTACCGACTCACTCAAGTTGATTCCTTTCTATGGAACCTCTCGCTGCAAGGACACCGGGCAGCCTTGGCTTTAGCTTTCCTGGGAGTCCACTTGGGTGAGCAACAGAGGCCTGGGGCCGCTCACCCTGGAACCCCAGCTCGAGCTGCGGGACCGCGCAGATCGCGACCTGGAAAGAGACCCCTCCCTTGAGGCTCAGGGGGCTAGACGGAGCCCAAGCACAATGGCAGGCATTGCGCCCGCACTGCTTCCTTCTCTCTTATGCTGGTCCTCCTGTGCATACCATTAGCTCACCTGGACACTACTGTGGGTCTGCTGTCTGTCGTGATTGCCTCCGCCCAGGTGAGCTCAGGCTCAGGCTCCCCACTCACAGTGGCGTCAAGATTGAGAGGGCAGTCGTGGCAGGCGGGATGGGGGACTGCGGGGGACACTGGGGCAGCGGGGCATGGAGGCTTCTGCCGCTGAAGCCAGATTTAAAGTTAGGTAGTCAGTGTAGTTAGGTAAATCGGATCTAATATCATATCGAGTGAAATCTAAAATGGAGGCCATGCTGATAATGATTCCGGGAAATGCAGGACAACTCATGGAATGTTAATGAAGTCCTGGAAAGGCCCTAGACCAAAGTCCACCCCAAAGAAATGTTAATGGAACCCAGGAAACATCCCCCAACAGATTTGGAGATAGCCCATCCCAAAGAAGTGATAATGAAATCCCTCCTGCCCAGATTACTTGTTTGGCCCACCTGTGTCCCAACCCTTCCCCCTTACATTCCATCACCAAAACTATAAAAAGGGGAGACAACTGCACTTCCACGGATTCCACCTCTTGGGTCCCCTTCTTCCTCTGGGAGAAGTCTTTTCTGCTATCCTTTAATAAACTTCTAATTTCTACTCTGATATTGCCTCGGCATGCTTTTCTGGTGTTATTCTTCAACATTGGGGAAGCAAGGACTCGTCACCGGCCAACAGCGGTAACACCGATGCGAATATGGCAGCGCCGGGGAGAGGGGCACCCTGGAACACGCTGTCCATGGCCGCCTTGGGAACTCTGATTAGGCGCCAAGGTCCTAAGGTGAAGGTCAGGTGGAGAGCAACAGCTCCCTCTGACCAGGCAGGCGGTGGTCGCATCCTTAATGCAGAGGGGTCTGCGCTGCTCCAGAGCCTGCCTCTTAGAGGTCAGGGCTGTAATTAGCTGGAGGGGCTCTTGGTGGCTAATAGCACCTGGGAGCTCGTCCTAAACCACAAAGCCAGAGTTGTCCTTGATGGGACTTAAACTCCTTGTACTTGATTGAGGAAGGACAGAAGTCATGTCCTTGTGCACATTTCTGAGATTAGCCTAAAGATCTGCATCTCCAGGCACTGGGACAGTGTGCCTGACACTCAGGGAGGCTAGGCACCCAATCTTCTTTTTCTTGTTTTTTCCTTTGTTTTTTGTTAAAATTGTGAGTAACTATCAAAGTAACTTTAAAATTGAAGATATGAAACCTATTCCCATGGCTTATGATTTTCAGAAATTGTTTTAGCAGTATATTGTATTGGGGATATATGATCACAACACCCAAGTTTGCTGGGTTCCATGTGGTGATCCAGGAAACTAAGTTTCTATAGTGACAGTGTTTCTGGGCCCCTCTGAAATTCAGTGTCCGTTCTTTCTATAATGGAAGAATTTCCAGAGTTACTTGACTCTATCTGGAGTGCCAGGATTTCTATCTGGGTTTCTATAATATGATATATGCAGTGCTGCTGAGCTCTGTGCAAACATCAGGGATCTAGAGCCTATTGTGACACTGGGCTATTAGACACTTGTAAAACAACAGAGAATGAGGTTCTATATTAGTAGGACTCATAGGGATGCTGACTTTTTTATGGAGAGAGGGACATAGGTGTCAATGATGGAGGAACTCCCAGTGCTGCTGAGCTCTCCCTGGAGTGCCAGGAAAGTGGACTTTTGTGATGGCAGTGCTCACAGTATTGTTGACCTCTGTGTGATCATCAGGGAGCTGGAGTGTATGGTTACCAGATACACTGGGTTTCTGGGCTTTGCATTGAGAGCCAGAGAATGGGGTTCTAGGATGGCAAGTTTTGCAATCCTGAGGATCTTTGTGTGCAGAGAGAAGAAACTGGATGTCTATGATTTCAGGATTCTCAAGTTGCTGGGATTCACATGGAAGACCCAAGGAACTGGTGTTCCATGAATTCAGGACTCACAGATTTTCTCTGCTCCTGGAGAAGAGAAAGGGATTCTAAGATAACTGGATAGGCAGCACTTCTTGGTTCTAGGAAGAGGCCAGGGAACAGTATTTCTTTGGATGGCAGAATTCCCAGGGCAGATAGGAATTCTACTTAGAGAGCCATGGAAGACAGGCTCTCCATCAAGATTCATGGGGATGCTGACTGTATGAAAGGTGGGATGTTAATGGTATTTTAAGATGGCAGAATATGGGAAGCCAAGGAACTAACTTGTCTTATGTAATTGAAGGATTACAAGGGCTACAGTAATCTACATGGAGAATTGGGAAAATGGGATTCTATGATTGCAGAACACTTTTGGGATCCTGATCTTTATGTGCAGTGACAGGGAGCTATGTTTTTCACTAAGGACTGGTGATCACTGCATTCCAAGCTTGAAACTGGAGTTCTATGATGGCAGATCTCACGGGATTCTGTGTTCCTGATGGAGAGGTGGACAATGTTGATTGTAGTGATGGCAGAATGTGCAAGGATGTTCAGTTCTATGTGGAGTTCCATGAAACTAATGTTGTATGCTTGTAGGATTCACAGGGCTTTGCCAGGGACTAGAAGGGAGTTGTCCTTCAAAGAATAGCCTGACAGTTACAAGAAACAGCCCCCTGGGAGACATCCTGCCTGGGAGACATCCTGCAGCCACCTATCTTCCTGAAACATCCTGAGGTTATCTCACCTTGTGAAGACATCCAGCAACTGCTGATAAGAGAGCTCCCCCATTCCCAGCCCATAAATACCCCTGTGTGAACAATAAAAGTTTGCAGCTTGATCAGACACCTGTCTTGCTGTCATCCTTCTGTGTCTCTTGTCCCTTCATTCCTCCCCATCTAGGTTCGCTGCCCACGTTGATGTGTCCTGCCGGATGGGACAGGGCTTCTTGGCTCTACATGGTGAACCTGGAAGTTCATTATGGCTTGATGTTCAGGACTGCAGCCTCTTCACAGATTGCCAGAGAACTGGGGATCTATTAAGTCAGAACACCCAAGGCTTCTGGAGTCTGTTCAGAGATCTAAGGAACCCTAGTTCTATGATAGCAGTACACTGAAAGCTGCTGGACTGTATATGAAGAGTAAGGGAACTGGCTTTATAAAGTTGCAGAACTTGTAGAAATGCTGAGCATTTTGTGGAGAGCCAGAGAACATGATATCTAAATTGGAAGGAAACACAAGATTGGACTTTGTGAAAAAACAGGATATTGTTTTTCTACTGAGCTCTTTTTGGAGAGCCAAGATACTGGAGTTCTAGAAAGGTAGCAGTTGTAAAGCTGCAGGGCACTTTGTGAGGAGCCAGGAAACCAGGGACCTATTAGGGCATGATTCTGAGGTCTGCTGCGTGCTAGGTGGACACCAAGGAAAATGGAGTACTATTATGGTAGGAATCACAGAACATTTAGACAACATATGGAGAGGTGGGAAACAGGGCATCTATGATGGCACACATTGTGGTACTGCTGGTAATGGGGTTCTATGATGGCAGGGCTTGAAAGGCTAATGGACTTGATGGAGAGCCAGGGATATGTGGTTCTATTGATGGCATGATTTGGAGTTCTACTAGTCTCTACGTGTTGGACTAGTATAAAGGATTTATATGGATGACAAGCCTCATAAGGCTGCAGAATTATACATGGAGAAGTGGCATTTCTGATGACATGGTTTCCAGTGTTGCTGAGCACTGTTTGGATGGCCCAGGACTGGGATTCTAATGATGAAAGGAAACAGGATTGAACCCAGGACCTCACATGTATGAGGCAAGCGCTCAGTCACTGAGCCATATCCCAGCCCTGCAAATGAGGGCATTTACTGCATGGTTCTCCAAACAATGTGGGGTATATTGAAGTATGGGTGAGTACCTATGTGGAATTACGTCATGGCTGCAGTGACACAAAGCGTGAGTACAAGCTGAATACAGAGCTATGGAGAGGGGAGCAGGATCCATGCCCAGAGGGTGGCAGTGCTACAGAGCCCCAGAGTGCTTTCCAACCCTGAAAGCACCAGCTCCTTGTTGCCCATCTGGCGGGAACCAGGACAGCACTGCCACCACCTGGCGCAGGTGGGAAACTACAGCTCAGAGTTAAGTCACATAGCCAAACCACGCAGGCCTGGGCCAGGGTGTAGCGGAATTAGAACTCAGAAATCACGACCTGGAATGCAGCCCTTTCTCCCACTCCAGCGCCCTGGATTGACTTTATGGAGCCTGGAGGGCACTCGCCCTTCCCAGGTGTGGCTTCAGGGGTTCCGGTCTCCACGCTCTGCTGCCAAAAAGTTCCCTGTTTGTGTCACCCATAGGAGGTGCCTGGCGGACAGAAGCCAGGTTGTAGGTTTCTGAAAGGTGCTTGGTTTATCCTGCAGTGGAAACTGTGGGCCTGGCATCCGCGCACCACGGCTCTGCTCTTTCTCCTCCAGGCTCCCCAGCCCGAGGAGGCGCTCACCTGTTCTGCTCCACTCCCACAGTGTGGCCACCAGTCCCCGGGAGACAGGGACAGTCTGCTCACCGGGGGAGACCTGCAGAATTTCGGTGGGTTGGAGCTACAGTTGCTAACCTCAGGGCCACTATGGCTCAATGAAAATGAAGGGAAAAGTTAATTGGAACAACAGATAACACCTCTGCAGCCTCTGGACACAGAGAAAGTTGCTCAGATGGCAGAGTGTGCAAACCCCAACAACTGCTAAACTATCCTTTTAGATCTATTTTAGCAAAAAATATGCAAATGTATGTTGAATAACCAGAACAGTGAATTTCAGAGGTTGTGCATCAGGACTAGGTAGTGGAATAGCTCTCTTTGCAACATTAAACAAGCTAATCAATCAACAGAATCCAAGCTCAGGATGCATTTGCAACCTGGGAAAGAGATGAAATTAAAAGTTGGGAGGGAGGTATGAAGATGTAGCATAATGTCCTCTAAGCTAATCAGAGGTGAGACATAGGGGCCCTAATGACAGACACCTCCAGGTTCTCCCCTAGATGTGGTTCTGTGGGGATCCTGGAGTTGCCTCCATGTTTGTCTGTTGTTCCCCAGGAAGCTTCTATGAACAAAGATGTAGGCCTGGGTTGTTGTGCTTGCATTTTTCTGAGTTTACCACCCACATCCAGAACTTTTTAATCTCTTTCCATAGGCAGCAACTGCATTCTGAGCCTGAGTTTATCAGCTGTATTTACAGGTGTTTCTATTCAGAATTCACTTTTCCCTCTGTGAGGTGTGCAAAGGTAAAGGCAGTCCAGGGTCCAGACCAGAGTAGAGACCTGGGGGAGCTCAGAGACACCAGGGCCTCCATGGCATGCATTCATAGCAGTTATGCTATTTGTTCACCCATTGAAGCACATCCTGATTGCTTAAGGTATTGGAGCATTGTGAATAGAACTACTATATGTAATGGTGTGCTGTTATCTAGATATACATTTTTGAGGCAGTTGTCTATATTTTTAGGACCATGTGGTGAAACCATGTCTAACTTTGGGGAAAGTGCCCAGTTTTTTGATAGTGTTGAACTGTTGTGTGCTCTTCCAGCAATGCACAAGAGTGCCTGTGGCTGTTCATCATCCTCATGGTTGATACTACACTTACTAAAGACCTTAGCAGCTCAGTAGGTGTGCAGTGCACTTGGGGTCTTAGTTTGTGCTTTCCTCATGACAGGTGATACTAAGAATCATTTCTATGCTTCTTTACCATCTTGTATCTTTCTTGTGAGTTGTCTGTTCATATTTTTACCCATTATGTTGTCTTATTGTTGAGTGTCTTACTATATTTTTTACACAAGTTTGTTTTAGACATATACTTTCCAAAGATTCCTCCAGTGTTTGACTTGTCTTTTCATTTCCTTAATATGATTTTTTTTTTTACAGAGGAATTCAATACAGTCCACATTATCAGGTTTTTCTTTCATGGATTTCTTGTTGTTATTGTTTGTTTGTTTGATAGCAGGGATTGAACCCAGGGTGCTTAACCACTGAGCCACATCCATAGCTTTCATGGATTTTGGGCGTGGTTTGTATTTAGAACCTCATCATGAAACATGTGGTCATGCACATCTTCTAGAGTTTTACAGTTTCCCATTTTAAATGAAAATCTAGAGAGTAGTTTGATAGGTTCTGGCATCCATATGTGTGGCTTCTTGAAGTGTGTGTCCTTTTGAAGTCATTTATGTCTAGTCTAGGTTTAAAAAGAGCGTGTTGGGAATTTCTGGAATGCACTGAATCTTCAGATCAGGTTTGAGGTAGTTTCATCTTAATTATATTGAGACCTGAACAAAGACTATCTCTGTATTTATTTATATTTCATTTGATTTCTTTCTAAACATTTCAAGAATTTCTGAAGTATGATTGTACTTTAATACTTACATGTAAATACTTCAAATTTGGGGTCTCTATTTTAAATATTAATGCTTTAAAATTTTTCTTATTTCAGTTTATATATTTCACAATTTCCCCTACATGATGGCTGAAATATAGGAAATCAATGAAATTTTGTCTATGGGCCATGTACTTTGCTGCTTGCTATCTCCATCCATTCTGATCAAGACATAGGAGGTAGGCTCTATTTCTTTTCAATTTCCAAAATCATGACCTGGAATAGTCAGAACTATGAATTTAAGAGCTTCATTGTGCCTAGCACAAGGGGGTGCAGCTCTGAACAGTGAACACCCAGCATCCTGCACTGCCCACAGTGGCCAGCACGGGGCACTCAGAACAACTTTCTCTGATCAACTGCTTTTGTGGGCTGTGTTCTGTGCCCTAATCAAACTTCCTTCTCCTGGGGACCCACCTGAGAGATGCCACATCTAGGGACTCCTAGAGGCTCTATCTAACGTGTAGACCAGAGTTTTTTTCTTTTCTTTTCTTTTTTTTTTCTTTTTTAATCCTGGGGAGACACTGGAAAGATACCATGGACTAGGGATGCCTGGTGGATATGTCTGTGGTGAGGACCAGAGCTTCTTTCTCCTTGGCACCTACCCATGGAGGCTCTACTGTGGATTCAGGATGCCTGAGGTCCATGAGAGGAAAACATGAGGAAGAAACTTCCTGTGCACTGCCTGATGGGCTGAGAAGTAAGTTCTGCCACGTTCTTTACTTTCTCAGGTAATATTTTAGGAGAACTTATTTTACAACAGTATTTCTTACTGAGGCTTTGGCTGCTCATTATCATGGTATGTCAATGTATTTTGTATGACTTGAGTGTCTGAGGACACAAATGCCCCCTCAAGATGGTGCAGGGAGGGCCCAGTGCCTGGAATCTCACTGGGACCTGAGGTTAAGGGCTCATGAAAATGCAGCAAGAAGCTCTGAGGAGCCTCTAGGGTGAGAGATGCAAAGATTATGATGGATTGCACACTACCCAGAATCCTGGGTAACTGTAGAATCCTCATTGCAGTTACCAGAGCCTTCTGCAGGGAGGGCAGCATGGGTCAAATGACAGACTGTGCTACCCATAATTCTTGGGGACCTGCAGCTTGCAGAGACCTCTGCAGAGAGGGCTGTACTGACAAAAAATCAAACTATGCTGCCAATTACTTTTGGGTGCCTTCTCTACCCAGGAGCCTCTGGGGGTGAGAATTGTAAGGGCAGAATACCAGACTTCAATGCTCAGAATCTCTGGGGATGCCTACATACCCTGTAACCCTGTAAGTCCCAGAAGATTTGGTGGTGATGGTTTTGTTGGTAGAGCTCATATCCTACAATCTCCAGGGTCCCAGGGAAAGCATGGGGTCTTCAGCACCTGTGATCCTCAGCAGGACTGTGCAGGCCAAACACTAGACTGCATTATTAGAACCCTTAGGG